CATGCTCCTCTCCTCCCAGAGACTTCCTCCTCAAGTTCTCCCTCTTATGTCCAACAGTCAAGATTTTCAAAAGTATCCGACATGCCTGACTAGAGCGGCTTTTAGCTGCCCAAACTCGCTCGATGTTCTTCCATAAACGAGCGGGCATCAGAGGAACCTGAAGGGGTATCTTAGGTTCACAGACGAAAGATACAAAACAGGTCCACTCACCCTGGCCACCAGATCCTCCTGGAACAGACCAAACATAAACGTCACCACTACCGTGAAGGGCACCGAATACGACCCGCCGCCCCAAGGGAGGACCTAACACCGTTTGCCCATCGATCCACCCAGGTTCGTTCCCTGCACCTTACAGCTAGATTGGTAGCCAACTGCGCCAAAATGCCACACATAACGCAGCCGAACGTCATCCAGATGAAACCAACCAGACTCGGGGCCACGAATTGACCTCCCATACCAGTTGCATATATTATCGGATTGAAGCCAATCTGATCATTGTGAGCATTGTCATCAACCAACACTCTATACCCCCTTTACTACCACTCCCAGGCCTATAATAGAGTTGAACGGCATTCCCAAGAGGACACCAGTAACCACTCCAATTAGAGATCCCCATATAGTGAGGAAGCATGAGGAAGGAGACCCTATAAACGCCCCGACCAAGAGGCAAAAACCAGACCACATATTCAAACCTGAACAAAAGCATTCACCTACGCCCCCGAACTCCCAATACTTACTGAACATCATCTGTGAGATGCCGGTCATCCAACTGCGGAAGAACCACTCAGCCGTGACATCACCGTACTGAGGAGCCGACGGAGGATTCGCTGTATAGATAGTCTCTAACAAGCACACCAAGGTCAGCCACTAATCACACATACCATATTTCTTACGGAAGTTCGTCGTAAGAGTAGCACATGCAATCCATGTCCACATCGAAACGTTGTATCTGCGTGCAATGATGATGATGATATAAAACTAGTGGTAGGTTTTGGTACGGCCAGGAGCATGCTGGGATGCCCGTCTTGGCAGTCCATTTAGAATTGAGCCACTGTGTGACTACAGCACAGAACACCGCCATAAAGCTGAGTGGTAGGAAGAGTCGACAGCAGCTTAGCATCACCTCATCGACTGAAAAGGAAACAACTAACAACAGGTGTTGTAGCAACGATAGCTTACAGGTCCTAGCCTGAGAGGCTCTAGCATCAAAACAGCCCATAGCCATGCCAAGAAGGGTACCGTTCAAACCGTATATTCCAGACCCTACGAGTGGCTTCAATTCAGGTGGTCCGAATAGTAGAGGGAAACCAGTGGTGTAACAACCTGAAGATAGATGATGCAACAGTACCTCATCCGTATCTTGCTCGGTTGAACCTAAGATTCCATCCCGACCAACTCACATCCAATGAATGCACATATGCCGACACACCAATTGCCAACGCATGCACCAGATAAGATACCAAGTCCCGTCCCTGAAAGATACGGATTAGGCCCGATTCATGACCATTCCATCTTACATATATTATCGTTCCAAGTAAGCTGAGCCATGCCTCGAATCACCGAACTTATGAACCAAACAAACTGAAACTTCATCGCTAACAGCAGCAGCAGCAGTCGTCATTATAGTACCTCTTTCCAAAAGCCCTTCAATCCTCGACTGTCCTCCTTATTAGGAATAGTTGGTTTGATAGTCTCCGCTTCACAAAAGAATACCGCCAGCCACTTGGAGGAATCCACAAGATCAACCTAAAGGAGTACGAGCAGCAATAAGACGCACTAACCCCTTTGGTAAAGTACCCATCTTTGAGCCCAATTACGCTTGATTCTGATGTCGACGGCCGTGTGAGAGGTAGACATTCCATCATACGAGCGAGCGGCCATTTCAATACAATATTATTTTACCACAAACTGAGTGGTGACACGTAGAAGCAACATTTGGCCTGCCTGAATGGTGGGTGCTGTGGTTAACCGCCCAACACATAACACTACCGTGAAGGATAAGGTATAATACAAGCCCGGCACCGTTTCTATGAATGTAGCACAAGGACGAAGACAAGAGACCATCCAGAGAGACAGTGACGAAAAGGCAACCTCAAGGTACGCCGCACGATTTTCGCTGCACGCAAGTCCCAAAGCGAGTGTTCACTCGTACGGACGTTTTAACGCGCGTTAAAACGTTCAAAACGTTTAATCGTCGGGAAAGTCCGTTCAACTCAGCTCCATTATATCTCATCGATGCCTCTTCCATTTTGACACTTTTTATATGTACCCTACACTCTGAACTTAATCGTACTCGGACAGAAGACGTCTTTCGCGATGCTGTCCTTTTTACGAGGTAACGATTGTGGCAACCGTTTTTTCTCAAGAAGGCGTCCACAGCGTCTTAGATCAGTGACATCATGTCACTGACATGCAGCCTCAAAGAATGTTATGATGACAATCGGCATTCTACTCTTTGAATACGCGGATTGTGTCCCTCCCACGATGAGGTGTCCAATAGTATCACCATCTAACTTCCACGTTCGTTGGAAGACCAACTATAACAACTCAATACAGTGTAAAGGCCAGAAACGTGACAGAAACATGCTAGTTGGAACACCTCTTCTCTTCCTCCTCCTGAAGACGAAGAGCTATGTCATACAACAACACTCCACCGGCGACCGAGGCATTAAGGGAATCAGCCGCCTGAACACCACCATGAACACCATCCAGTAGTGTCACCATCATCAGTCGTCACCATAGACATCGGTAGAGTAACTCTCGTGCAGCATTCAAGCAACTCCATCGACGGACCACGTGCCTCGCTTCCAACCACAACCATAACGCCTCTATACCTGAGCTATTCCTAACAGCAGCCCGACATAACTCTCGCAAACTTTCCTTATAACTTGGCTTACCCTGCATTACGAACGTTGAGCTTCTTCACCGTGGGCAGAGGCTCAGTGCCCTGCCTGCCAACACCCGAGGATGTTGCAACAACTGGTAGGAGCTGGCGGGCAGCGCAGAACTTCAGGAGCCGCACCGCGTCCACACCTGTATGGATAGGCATCTTATCCCAGTACCTCGAACCGATCACATCAATTTGAAATAGCTAAAAACAAAACTCACTTCGCTCCGCTCTCCTCCAAGACCTTCCAGTCCCATGGGTCACAAGACTCCGGTGTCAACACTACTCGTGAGACCCTAACACTCACGATGCTCTTCATAAGCCGTGCATCCTTACCCGACCGCCCATGCAGTCTTCAATAACCTCCCCACATTGTCAGTGTATTGCAGACCGTCCAAGCAAAGCACCTAGCAACAGTAGTAATAACTTCCTCCTGCTGCTTCGCGCCACTCACGATTTCGGGAAAGCTCTCAGTGGGCACTCGTTCAGAACAGACACCAGATTCCCAATCTATTTCCGCATGCTTGGGCATCTCGATGTCACCCACGCATAGGCGCTCATCGGTAACTCCATAGAGGTGGGCGTTGAAGTGGTGATTGTACGTGATGTGCCTGACGAGACGATTCTGCATTGGGAATGTGCTAGTCCTGATTTTCCAGTTTCCATTGGGGACACTAATGGTGACATACCATGTTGCATTGACCTCCCAATTAGCACAATACTGCTCGTATAAACACCACCCGCGCCCTTACTCGAGGAGATCCCTCGGCACTCTGAGCGTTCGATTCGCCGCCACGCCGCCTTCTAACGCGATGGACGGATTTTCGGCTACTACCATCAGCGTGTCAAACTGAAAAAAAACACAAGTTAAAAAGCCGCACATAAAATACCCGCGACCATGATGGTGGATTCAGGCACGCCAAGACCTATAACGGGGCTCTCCTTGAGGTAGGCGCGAACCTACCTTCTGGCCGGCAGCAGCTATCGTTCGAATAGTATCCAGACCCTTCACGAACACTCGTTCTTGTTCCTCCCTGAATTTACGGCTTTTACGGAGTCTTACAATGTACTTGGTGAAACTGAGGAAGTACCCGTTCACATATACCATAGCTGGGCATTCCGAAATGTGTCGGAGTTACAAGCAGTGTGGTCAACCACATGTGTTGGTGACAATATCAAAACATTTGTTACTTTCTGTGCTCTTCTCGTATACAATCTCCCTAATTCGTATATAAATTCTCACGACTAGCAAGGAAGCTTTTGAGTTTAGGTGAGTAAAGCGAACATATAGCACTGGTTAGAAGTCCATAAACAGAGTGGTTAGTTGAGCCTGTTCACCACGACAGGGAATGTTGCCCTACGATGAGGGAAATCCGAGCAAGACGGATGGTACTCGGAAGCTCCTATTCAGTGTGGAAATATATGCGCGTGATCAACCCCATGAGTCGGTAAGAATGTGGAAACTCTGAGGAAACTTTGGAAAATCATTGTCGGTTTTTATATACTTCTACCCAAAATCGCGGGGTGATTTTCGGCAATGTATTGGATCAACTTGAGAGCTCAGTTGAGGAAACCAAACATATATTCCCACACTGCTCCCATGCAGATACATCAGATGTGTAGTGGAATATTCATGAGCACCTTCACGCGCCACGAAATTCCTCCCACCTATTTGTCCGAGATACAAAATCATAATGGACGCCCGAGTGAAGCCGGATGGCCGGCACTGGTTCAGGCTCTCCTCGCCACAGAGAACTCTTACTATTCAATCGTAATGATGTAAACCTCCGACAACGGAACATGCAAACAACCACTAAAAGGTATCATGCTCACGTTATCAGAAAATATGAACACTTATAAGTAGCTCAACTACTCCTCTCACAAATCATTGAAAATAGTTTCAAACGAGGCGAACATGTATTTTCACTTTCTCTTGCTACTATGATGGCTGAACAAATACGACGCCGCATTATCAAGGGCTTGAACACCTGTCAACTGCGATCACAACTGAAATTCACAACAGCCGATCTACCGAGGACATTGTGGCGAATAGTTGGTAGCCTCGTAACCCCAACCCCTTCATCAAGCCCTTCAACAAGTCTAGCCGCCTGCTTGGCACTCTCGTACACCAAAGTCCTCTGGGAATCCAACGCATCACGTGCCTGGGTGAAGGATATATTCACAAGCTATTACCTCGGATGGGAACAAGTAATGCACATGCTCAACTACGTGTGTTGGTGACAAGATGAGAATTCTGAGGAAATATGAAGTGTCGGTTCCTGTCCACTTCTACCCGAATTCGTGAGTAAACGTCTATAATTAGTGAGGAAACTTACGAGCTGAGCTGAGGAAAACTAACACATATTCCCCCAACACTGCACATATCAGTTCCACTAGTCTTAACGAGCCACTTACCAGTTTGATCTCCTCTTTTGACAGCTCTTGAAGCTCACCCTTCTTACTCAACTCATTCAGCTTACTCGATGCACCGCGGTATCTGGCCACCACATCAACAACAACAACAACAACAACAACAACAACAACAACAACAACAACGACAACAACAACGACAACAACAACAACAACAACAACAACAACAACAACAACAACAACAACAACAACAACAACAACAACAATAACAATACCAACAATAACAACAATAACAACAATAACAA